GGTACCATTACTATTTCCCCTCTCCATCTCTATTCTATGGAGGTGAGTCACTAAGTCCAGCCCACACTAGAAATGGGAGGAGGAGGGAGAATTCAGCTCTACCCCTTAGGCCAGTTCATTTGCTATTTTCCAGTTGAGACATAAACAAATACCCAGAGAAATGCTCCAGACGCTGTGCCTGCTGTCCAGAGACCCCAGAGGGCTTCCCAGCAGGCTGTAGTTTCTGGGAGTTTCCCTGTCACCAGTCTCCCGTTTATTGGCTACCATAGCTCAGTTCTAAATATGTCCCCCAACCCCTGCCCCAACGTGTGCAACTTATTCCCACCTTCTGCAACTAATTGTTACCACTTCATTACAGATACTCGAGGTTCTCAACTGGAAAAAGGAAAAAAGGTGTTCTTTATTCAGGATTGAATTTTCTTTAAGAAAATCTCGGCCAGGCATGGGGCTCACGCCTGCAATCCCGGCACTTTGGGAGGCCGACATGGGTGGATCACGAGGTCAGAAGTTCAAAACCAGCCTAGCCACGATGGTGAAACCCTGTCTCTAATAAAAATACAAAAATTAGCCAGGCTTGGTGGCGGGCACCTATAATCCCAGCTACTCAGGAGGCTGACACAGAGAACTGCTTGAACCCAGGGGAGGGAGGTTGCGGTGAGCCAAGATCCTGCCACTGCACTCCAGCCTGGGCGACTGAGTGAGACTCTGTCTCACACATATACAAAAAGAAGAAAGAAAAAAGAAAGAAAGAAGAAAAAAGGAAAGAAAGAAGGAAAGAAGAAAAAATATATACATAGATGGAAGAATAGTATATTGGTCAGGATGGGCCAGAATTTTCCTGTGGTAACAACCTCCCAATTCCAGTGGTGCAAACACGCATCGGCAGGGGAGGTCTGCCCACCCTAGTCACTGAGGTACCCAGGCTGACGGAGGCTCCACTTGTCCCATGCTTCCATGGCTGCTGACCCAGGAAAGAGGTCACAGAATCACACAGCAGTTAAAACTTCTGACCAAAAGTGGCATTGATTACTTGTATTCACATTGCATTGGCCAAAGCAAGTCACATTTTTCCATTTAACTTCAAACCTTGCCAGGCACACTTCTCCTTTGTCTTCTGAGTGTTTACTTAGTATCTACATTGCTCTTCACTTGGCTGCAATATTTATGTATCACTTTTGACCAACTTTTCTAAAATGAGAAGTTTTGATGAACAATGTCCTTTTTGACTCTAAAATTCAAAGACCATGTGATCTCTCAAAGCTTTTCCAGTCCTAAAATAGCATGAGTCTAAATCTTTCCATCGTGTGCTTTGAGCCATAAGGTACCCCCTTATTTATGCACAGAATTATTTAATAATGGTGGAAAGGGAAAAGGGAATATAGAAGAACAGTGCTGCAGTATAAAGCTTAAAAGTTTTCAAAACCAAAGAGTGAAATATTTTCTTATTAGAACAACTAATCCAGAGCATAATGCAAAACAAAAACAAAAACAAAAACAAACAAAACCTAAGCAAAACAACCAATATTCCTTGCCTCCCATCAAATGGATAAACCCATTGACTTCAGAGTTGGATTTACTTGCCCACAGTAGACAGGTGTTTCTAGAACAGTGGTTCCCACTGGGGTGCCTGCTAAATATGCAGATTCCTAGTCTCTACATCAGCTCTGAGTTGGTTTCTATGCTGACCAAGCAAAGTATCTGGGACATAATAGGGTGCTCAATAAATAGCTATTTTATTAGCAAATTAATAATACACAAATTATACCTTTTTAAGAAGAAAGGAAAAGGAAACCCGCAGAAGGATCTTTCTTAGTTGCCAAGGGCACTATCAAGAAACCCAGGTGTGAAGGCTCAGATGAGGATGGTGATCATGGCCTCAAAGAGACAGGAAGTGCTTTGGTAATTTGAGTGAAAAGAAGAAAGAGTAAAGGAGTGAATCAAAGGCAACTCCCAAGTTCCTGAACAGGGTAAGTGACAAGCAGGAAGTGATTTAAAAACAAAATACACACAATGCTTGAAAGATCATTTCAGCTTCAGAGAATCTGAGTGATCAAAGGAAGCCAGAGTAGTCACATGACACACCGTGACCCCCCGGCTCCTGAGTTGCACAATTAACTTCTGACATTAACTTCTGACATTGACTAAAGTGACCATTTAAAAGTGAGAAAGTGGGCCGGGCGCGGTGGCTCAAGCCTGTAATCCCAGCACTTTGGGAGGCCGAGGCGGGTGGATCACGAGGTCGAGAGATCGAGACCATCCTGGTCAACATGGTGAAACCTCGTCTCTATTAAAAATACAAAAAATTAGCTGGGCATGGTGGCTCGTGCCTGTAATCCCAGCTACTCAGGAGGCTGAGGCAGGAGAATTGCCTGAACCCAGGAGGCGGAGGTTGCGGTGAGCCGAGATCACACCATTGCACTCCAGCCTGGGTAACAAGAGCAAAATTCCGTCTCAAAAAAAAAAAAAAAACAGTGAGAAAGTGTTGCACCAAGAGTTGCCTGAAGTCACTGGAGTCACTAGACCCCAAAATGTATGAATTATCAATTTCCTTTTTCTAAACAGTAGTGACATGTAATTTGCATAGCATGTAATTCACCTATTTCAGGTGCACAATTCAACGGTTTGGGGTGTATCCACAGAATGATACAATCATCACTACAATGAAATTTAGGACATTTTCATTATGCCTGCCAAAATCCCTCATATCCATCAGCAGTCACTCCTCTCCCAACCCCAGGCCTAGACAACCACTCATCTGTCTCTATGGATTTTTCTATCCTAGACACTGCACAGAAATCAATCTGACATTACGTGGTCTTTTGTGACTGACTTCTTTCAAAGTTCACCCATGTTGTAGCATAGATTAGTACTGCATGCCCTTTTACTGAGGAATGATATGCTATTGTATGGATATTCTGCTTAGCCATTTACTAAGTGATGGACATTTGGGTTGTTTCCACTCTTTGGTTCTTAAGAAGAATTCTTCTATAAACATTCCTGTACAAGTTTTTGTGTAGATATGTTTTCATTTCTCTTGGAGTAGAATCATTAGGTCATAACCCCTCTATGCTTAACCTTTTCAGGAACTACCAGAACGTTTATCAAAGTTGCTGCACCATTTCACATCCCTGCCAGCAATTTCTCCACCTCACCACTTGCGTTACCTGCCTTTGTGATTCCAGCCATGCTAGACGGCATGAAGGTGTACCTTACTGTGGTTTTGATTTGCATTTCCTTGAAGACCAATTATTTCAAGCATCTTACTGGCCATTCGTATATCGTCTTTGGAGACATATCTATTCAGATCCTTTGCCCATTTAAAAAATTGGGCTGTCTTTTTATTAGTGAGTCATAAGGGTTATTTGTTATTTATCTATTTCTGGATACAAGTCCATTTTTAGATGTATGATTTGCAAATACTATCTCATTCTATAGATTTGTCTTTTCACTTTCTTTTCTATTTTTCTTTTGAAATAGAGTCTCACTCTGTCGCCCAGGCTGAAGTGCAGTGGCGCTCTCTCAGCTCACTACAACCTCCGCCTCTCAGATTCAAGTGATTCTCCTGCCTCAGCCTACAGAGTAGCTGGGATTACAGGTGCGTGCCACCATGCCCAGCTAACTTTTCGTATTTTTAGTAGAGATGGAGTTTCACCATGTTGCCCAGGCTGGTCTTGAACTCCTGACCTCAATGTGGTCTTTTGCAACCACATCTAACGGTTGTATCTAAGGGGTTATATCTAAGAAACTGTTGCCTAATCCAAGGTCATAGAAATTAATACTTTTTTTTTTGATACGAAGTTTCATTGTTGTCACCTAGGCTGGAGTGTAATGGTGCAATCTCGGCTCACTACAACCTCTGCTTCCTAGGTTCAAGTGATTCTCCTGCCTCCGCCTCCCAAGTAGCTGGGATTACAGGCACCTGCCACCATACCCAGCTAATTTTTGTATTTTTAGTAGAGATGGGGTTTTACCACATTGGCCAGGCTGGTCTCAAACTCCTGACCTCAGGTGATCGGCCTGCCTCAGCCTCCCAAAGTGTTGGGATTACAGGCGTGAGCCACTGTGCCCAGCCACCTATCTTTAAGTCTAACAGTTTTATAGTTATAGCTCTTAACATTTAGTTTCTTGATCCATTTTGGTTAATTTTTGTATAGAGTGTGAAGTAGGGATCCAGGTTCATTCTTTTGCATGTGACTATCCATTTGTCCCAGCATCATTTTTTGAAAAGACGATTCTTTATACTCCATTGAAGAGCAGAAATTGCCACCCTTGTCAGAAATTAAAACTGGCTCAAATGTGAGAGTTTTTTTTGGGATTCTCAATTCTAGATATATATAAACCAATAGAGTCAATATTCCATTGATCTCTGTTAATCTAGTACCACAGTATCTCAATTACTGTAGCTTTTCATTAAGTTTTGAAATAAGGAAATGTGAGAATTCCAACTCTGTATTTCTTTCTTTTTTTTTTTTTGAGGCGGAGTCTCACTCTGTCACTCAGGCTGGAGTGCAGTGGTGTGATCTCGGCTCACTGCAACCTCTGCCTCCCTCCCAGGTTCAGGCAATTCTCCTGCCTCAGCCTCCTGAGCAGCTGGGATTACAGGTGCACACCACCACACACAGCTAATTTTTGTATTTTTAGTAGAGACGGGGTTTCACTGTGTTTGCCAGGCTGGTCTCGAACTCCTGACCTCAAGTGATCTGCCCACCTTGGCCTCCCAATTGTATTTCTTTTTCAAGACTGTTTTAGCTATTCTGGGTCTCTTGAATTTCCATATGAATTTAATCAGCTGGCTAATTCCTTCAAAGAAAGCAACTTGAATTTTGATGGGCATTGCATTCATCACTTTGCTTCATGATGACACTTAAAAATGATTATGCAAGTTCATATTTATAAAATTTCACTGGAATAGCAATGTAGTCCTAAGTTCTCCTATGAAACAATTAGAAAACTTAAAAGAACATATTTATTTTGGCTATCACATATGAACACAGGATTTCAGTTTGTTTAAAGACTTCATTTCCAACAGATGTTACAGCATATTAGTCATAAAAATCATCAGAATCGTCGGTGTTATAGTTTCTAGGGCGTAAAGCAGCCTCAATTTCTGAGTTACTGTCGTCAGACTCATCCCAGAGGGCTGGAAAATAAAACCAGAGAGCCATTTAACATTTCTGCACTCTAGTTAAGAGCTTACAAAACAGCACAGCACAGAAGGACTGGTTAAGCAGAGTGCCAGTTTGCAAAATGCCTAACAGGGATACCACATAATATACCTGACCAGATACATCCAAATGCATGTCCGTATTGCACAAATGTACACATTTCAAAGTGTGTCCTATGCAGTGTTATGGAAAACACTTTGTAGAATACTTCCTTTTCCCTTCTGTTGTGCCTAACTCTTTATTATAGGATAGGGATTTAAAGTCAGGGTTAATGGCTGGGCATGGTGGCTCACGCCTGTAATCCCAGCACTTTGGGAGGCTGAGGTAGGGGTATCACCTGAAGTTAGAAGTTCGAGACCAGGCTGACCAACATGTAGAAACCCCAACTCAACTTAAAATACAAAATTAGCCAGGCGTGGTGGCACATGCCTGTAATCCCAGCTACTTGGGAGGCTGAGGCAGGAGAATCGCTTGAACCCAGGAGGTGGAGGTTGTGGTGAACTGAGATCATGCCATTGCACTCCAGCCTGGGCAACAAGAGCGAAATTCCCTCAAACAAACAAACAAACAAAGTCAGAGTTAACATGGAAGCAGGGTTCCCTGGGGTGTTGTATCATCCTGATGCCACCCCACCCCAGCTGCCCCTCCATTTTTATCTCCCTGTCTTCTTTATGAGAGCAGAGAGGAGAAGGGAAAGATATGGCAGAGGAATAAGCAGAGATGTTTAGCCTGAGACAGGACTTTGGTCCACATTGTTTACTGGAGAGGTGATTCCAGGAACCATGGGGACAGTGACACAAGGAAGACGGGAAGCCCGTGAAGGGTATGATGACGAGTGGCTGCCTGGCAGTGAGTGGATAGGCGAGGCTCAGCCTGCTGGGGCCCCCTGAGAGCCTAAAGAACTCTCCCCAGATGGTCCCAATGAAGAGCAAGGGAACGGGGTTATCGATCACCAACTTGCCTCTGTTGGCCGAGGGTTGCTCTCAACCCAGGGCATCAACGCCCCGGCACTTTGGGCTGCCCTGTGATGGCTAGGTCTGCTCCTGCAGCCAGAGAAAGCCCTCAGGCAGACAGACACAGCTGTCCGGTGGAGCTGAGGTGCCTTCAGGTGGTCCGGCAGGATGTGGTGGTGGAGCTGACCACATCTACTACAGCAACAATCTCTTAACTCTGCTGACACCTGCATGCACTGCCTGCCAGCTCTGTGCTGACTTCTCATGTGACCCCATCTCATCCTCACACCAGCCTGGCAAGGTAAGTATTGTTTCCATTTTACTGAGCAAACAAACTGGGGCTGAGGGGGTTAAGTAACTGGCCACAATCACAATGCCAGTGAGTGGCCAAGCCAGGAGTCCCCCAGGTCATCTGACTCAAGCCCATACTCCGCATCACAACCCACTGGGTACCTGTCTCCCCATCAGTTGGTAGCTGTCCTTCTAGAAGAGTGATTCACACTGGAGTACTTCCTAAAAATGCAGATTCCTGGGCCTAGGCACTACAGCAGCTCTGAATTCGTTTCCATGCTGGGTTAGCAAAGTGGGACACATTGGGTGCTTAATAAATAGTAGATATTTTTGTTATTAGCAATAAAATTATTAATCAAATTATACCTTTAATTTAAGGTATAAGGGGGTTTAAGGAGACAGGAGTTGAGGAAGCCCAAGCTGGGCAACGGGCATGCCACAGTGTCATGGTAGAAGGAGGGCTAGATCTTTCCTGTGAGCTGGGTGTTGAAGGATGAATAGGAGCTCACTGGGCTGAGGAGAAGGAAAAGGGACTCCCTACAGAAGGAACAACATGGGCAAAGATACAGAGGCATAGGTGTGGTACAGTTGAAAAAAAGCTGACAGTGGCTTGACTCTTGGGCAGGACCTTGGGAGGAATAAGCTGGAGAGCAGGGCTGGGGCCTCCCGGAAATGGAGAAAGCTCAGCCTCTGCCCTGCAGGCGGAGGGGAGGCATGGGTAGTCCTTACATAGGAAGGCGGGGGAAGCCAGGGTTTGGAGGCTGGTGGCCAGGTGGAGGAGAGTCAGGAGCTGGGAGGGAATGGGTATGAGGAAACCAGTTAGTTACTCCAAGAGCCTGTCCGGTCATGAGCAACGGGTACTTCTGAGGATGGGGAGAGAGGCAAGAAATATTTTATTGGTAAAATGCACAATGCTGGTAATTAATTAGATGCGGGGGCCAGGATCCCCCTGCAAATTCATACTTGCAAATTACAATGCTCTGCCCCTGTGGTCCATGGCACCTGTGTGGCCCTGTCTATGAAGAACTGTGCCTCCAGAAGCCCTCAGGTCCCACCCCAGGGAGAGCTGCAAGGGCAGTCCCTGGGATCATGGCCGCTTCAGGACTCACACGAAGGTAGAAACAACAAATGCATGTCACAGAGTTTTTTGGTTAAAACAAAAAATGAAAATCTGGTGTCCAGTTATTTCTCTTACCATTAGATATTAAATTGATCATCAGTTTCTTTTTGTTTTCATGCCTGCAAAATAAAGAATCAGTCTAAGTTCTGGAAGAAAAAAGACAATGAGACTAACATTTTCATAACGAATGCATTAGCACTTTGAGTCACTGGAGGCCAGAACTTTGCACTTACTTCCCAGATTTTAAGAGTAAAAGGGCTGGGCGCGGTGGCTCAAGCCTGTAATCCCAGCACTTTGGGAGGCCGAGGCGGGTGGATCACGAGGTCGAGAGATCGAGACCAACCTGGTCAACATGGTGAAACCCCGTCTCTACTAAAAATACAAAAAATTAGCTGGGCATGGTGGCGTGTGCCTATAATCCCAGCTACTCAGGAGGCTGAGGCAGGAGAATTGCCTGAACCCAGGAGGCGGAGGTTGCGGTGAGCCGAGATCACGCCATTGCACTCCAGCCTGGGTAACAAGAGCAAAACTCCGTCTCAAACAAAAAACAAAAAACAAAAAACAAACAAACAAAAAAAAGAGTAAAAGGAAGACGTTGGGATGCAGTGTGGCCTTGTTGGGAAGGTCGCTGCTCAACAGCATCGCTCCTGTGTTGTGCGTGTCCCCTCGGCAGGTCAGCATGGCCCACCCCCAACTGCTGAGCTGTGCCTGCGTGGGGCCTTGTGTTCTTGGGGGAGGATGATTGCATGGGCCCCTGAGGCAATGGACCCATTTCCCTTCAACAGACTTCTGGAAAACACCAATGTGTAAAGCTTTTAGCCAAGCTAAAAATGAAACGCTTCCAGTATGGAATTCAAGATGTTGGTGAGGAAGTTAAAATACTTAGTCAAACCAGTGGCGGCAATACTAATAGTTTAAGAAAGGATTCCAGAATAAACACCTGGTAGAGAGCACTGCAAGTGTCACATAAAAGCCAGTGTCCATGACATCCAGGACTGAGTGCCTTCTTGACTGAGGCCAACATAGCAAGAAAACTGGCTCTACATGATATGATTTCTCCACGTGCCTTTTCAGGAGCTTTTGCAATTTTAATAAATTTAAGATTCTTTAAGACTTGCCTGAATGGTCACAGGAGATGTCAGAAAAGAAACCATTCTTGGTGCATGGCTTGACACTGCCCTACACCATGCACCACCACCGCCCTTCTCACGGCCAGAGCCTTGCTCTTCTGGACACAGAAAACCCTGCAAATACGTCTTTTCCTTCCCTTTGGGCCAAGTCTGGTTGACTTTTGGCTTAAAAATCTACCTTTTGCTATAATTTCCTTTTTTTTTTTTTTCCAGAAAAACATGCTCCACTAAGGTATCATTTTCTAGGCTATCTTTCAGTGTTCCCTGTAAATTTAGTGCCTGTTTCTTTAATTGCCATTACTGAGTAGTGCTCACAGCCATTTCTCCATGACGCATGGAAGACCTCTATGAGCATCTGGAAGGGTCAGCAGCTGAATGACAGTTCTGGAGCTGCCAGGATTGTGGGGACCTGCCAGTGAGGTGGGCCTGCAAGAACCCATTTTACAGAAAGTCACACACACACACACACACACACACACACACACACACACACAACTGTGGGGATGTCTATTATTTCCCCACCTCCCCCGATACCTGAGGACACAGGGCTACGTGCTGCAGGGGAGGGTGGATTATAAAAGTCTAGGAGGAGTAGAAAGAGCCTAATTTGCCAGCCGTGGTCCATACAAGAAGAGCCACGGCGGGAGGGGGAGAGATCTTTGCTGGTTGGGAGGACTGAGAGCACTGTGGTGGCGACGGAGGGAGCTGCGAGATCGCAGAGGAAGCCAGGCACCTCCAAAGGCAGAGGCCTTCACAGGCTGGGACTGAGGAACAAGGTGTGGTGTGGTGGGGCAGCAGGGAGCCCAGGACACAGGAGAAAGGACACAGTGGCAGGAGAGCTCAGCCAGGTGCCCATGGCCTGGGTCACTTCTCTGAGCTCCAGAAAGAAACACATTCAGTGCCCACTTGGTGGCTTCATGTAGCTCCTCCAAAGTGCCTCATGGTCAACACTCCCATCCACAACCAAACTCACCATCCTCTCTGCCAAACCAGAACCTTTTTCCCATCTCAGCGAATCGCATCCCTGACCCACTAGTCTTCCCAAGCCTCTCTCCAGTCTCCACTCCTCTTCTCTCCACACTGTCTGGCCCTTGGTACTGCCATTCCTCCCCAACTTCCACAAGACTTCCTGCAGTCCTCACCAGTTCCCTGGGCACTGCCACCACACTGGTCAACAGAACTATCAGCTCTTACTTCTGTCTCTGCAACAGCCTCCTAACTGGTGACACACTCATCTTGTCCCCTACAATCCATTTTCCACTAGGCAATTAAGAGTAAACTTTCTGAAATGCAAATCTGGTCACTTCACTTCCTCGCTTAAAATTCTTCAATGCCTTGCCACTGATTTCTGCTCAAAGACCTAAATCCCAAGCAGTGCCTCCAAGGTGGATCCCCAGGGGTGTCGTGCTGTCCCGATGGAGGCTTCCCACTTCTGACTCCCTGTCTTCACCACTGAGTCCTCATCAAGTTGGTGTTTCACATTTACTCGTGCAGTGAACTGATGGGCCACCCCTTCCCCTCAGTTCCATGTGCGCGGTGACCACACCTGTTTCAGCTCACCTGGGTAATGCGGTGCATAGCGCTTAACAGGTGATTAATGAACATGTTCACTTGGAATGAACAAGTGATCCTCACTAAGCCGAGGGCCCTGATTAAAGGCATTTGATCAATATTCAATTATACAATACTTAATTTGCCTATTTCTACTTAATATTATACTTCAGAATCAAGTTCAAGTTTCTTTGGCTTTCCTGCTGACAAAGAAAAAAAAAAAACAGAAAAGCTAAAGGGGGAAAAAAAAAGAGAAAAAAGTCACGTACAATGCTGTAAACACAGACGCATGAGAACCATCTATGCAAGTGTGTGTTAGTAGTCACTTAACTCATCAAAGCAATCAGCCAGCAAGGCTGAGTCCTGCCACAGAGGTGACCCACTGCGCATTTCAGGGACCTCACTTCTGCATGTGGCACTCCAGGAAAAAATGATTTCCTGAAGCCATGTCTCTATGAGGCCACTTGAACTTGCTTTTTCTGTCTGTCCTGTGGTTATACAGTGTGGCTTTGAGAACATTTAAGCCACAGGGAGCCAGTAAACATCCCAGTGAAATGTGAATTAATTGTGTAATGGTTCTTAATTGTCTGTGTTATTGGTTTTCTCACAGGAAACATGTTTCAGAGCTAAATGTGTGTGGTGCGTGGTCTACCCACGAAGGGCAGAGGGTGCTTTCCAGTGTTTTGTTCTCGACTCTCACATCGAAGGGGCAATTATTGTTCCGTTTGAGAAAATCTCTGAAAGTCAATGTGACCCTACAATTCAAGGTTGATTTTTTATTATACAGAATTTTTAGGGTCAACATTTTTTTTCTTTAGGTCATACCTAACATGTAAAGCTAAGGCAAGGCTGATGGAGAAGCCTATGGTGTGCTGGATAGAGTCAACGACTTTGGCTACTAGAGTAGATGAGATAAAAACAAAACTGCATTTCAGAAAGTAAAAGAAATCAAAGAGTGAAGGGTGTAGGCCATGGGATATGGTCATCATGTGGTCTTATGTGCTTGGAATCTGACTGCCTAATCTTCACTGAGAGTGTAGAAGTAATGTTTCCATCTCTCTTTCCAACAGAGGTTGGCAAAGGTTTTCTGTAAAGAACCAGAAATAGTTCGGGCTTTGTGCGCCGTATGGTCAGCTGCAACTACTGAATTCTGTGGTTGTAGCATAGAAACAACCATGGACAATTTGTAAACTGAAAGATGCGGCTGCATTCCAATTAAACTTCATGTATAGACACTGGAATTTCAATTTCACGTAATCTTCATGAAACATTATTCTTTGAATTTTCTTCCAACCATTTAAAAATGTGAAAACCACTTTTCGCTTGTGGGCTGCACAGACCTAGGCAGTGTCCTGGCCACGGCCCAAGGGCCATTACAACTGTCAAGAATTGCCTCACATGAGGCCCATGCTGCAAGCCAAAGAGCCTGCCCTTCCCCTGCACTGTGGCTCAGGGGTGACTCTTGGAACCCCAGAGAGCAGACTTGGTATTTTTTCCCTAGAAGTTTACAGTTGGACTGGAGGTCCTACTTCAAAATAAACCATTTTCAGGTAAGACACTAGAGATGATTAACTGAGTAAATTAAAATATAACTATGTTCCGCTGGTCTCATTTTAATGGGACAATCAGCTGGGCGCGGTGGCTCTCGCCTGTAATCCAAGCACTTTGGAAGGCTGAGGCAGGTGGATCAGCAGAGGTCAGGAGTTCGAGATTAGCCTGGCCAATATGGTGAACCCGTCTCTACTAATAATACAAAAATTAGCCAGGCATGGTGTTAAGCACCTGTTAAGCCCAGCTACTCAGGAGGCTGAGGCAGGAGAATCACTTGAACCTAGGAGATGGAGGTTGCAATGAGCCGAGATCACACCATTGCACTCCAGCCTGGGTGACAGAGCAAGACTCTGTCTCAAAAAAAAAAATTAATATATTTTAATTAATTTTAAAATGATATGACAATTATCTCTGCAGAATTTCCCAGCAGGTTTGGTCATTTTTTTCTCCCAGCTGTACCAGGAGTGTCCCATTCCCATTAGGGAGATGCCCACTTATTACCATTCTGCCGTATTGACTTCATCACATCTCTCCCCTCTACCTATCCATCAAGCCATCTTATTTTGGATGCATTTTGATAAATGCTTATCAATTCCCCTGCTATAGAAAAACCAGATTAGGACAATTCTAATCAAAGTCACTTTTGTTCTCAACCTTGTTAAGAAGTGAAGGCCAGCCAGGTTTCAACAGAATAGGTTTTATCTGAAAGCAGCCCTGACACACGGTGAACACTCTATGCATGGGGTCAGGATGACACAGTGTGCAATGGAAAACAGTAACAATTACGTGTCAGTTGTTCATTTTGTAAGAGCAAAAGGCTAACGTAGCTAGAATTGGTCTACACAGCCAACATCAATATAAAGTTAGATAGTAAGGATTATTGACAA